GCTCTTCCATGTAAAGCCCATTTCAACTAGGAATATCTCCTTCCCTGATGTTCAAAATGGTAAATTTATGTGTAGTCCTAAACCTGCATTGACTATATGTGCAGGTATGTTCTGTTTAAATTCCCCTTCTGCTTTTAAGGTACCAGCAGTATTGACTAGCATTGTTTTATATTTCCATCTCCCAATTTTTTTTTTCATTTCTGAATTTCCTCCTCGATCTCTCTTGATTTCTTTGTCTCCTTTTGGTTTAGGATCTGTTCTTGGATGTAGTTAGCGTACTGTTTACTTTCTCTCCTGGAGCTTTTCATTTCTTCAGATTTTTCCTGGGCTTAGCGTGTAACCTCGTTGCCTCCCACCAGATGTCTCCTCTGCAGGCAGACCATCGCTCTTTTTCACCACCCCTTTGTAAAAGGCTTTGAAAGAAGATATTTACCACTCAGCATTAATTGTGTCTGTGAAGTCCAAGTTGAAGATTTTGTCCTGCGGTTGTGCGAATTTTGAGTTTCGCAGTTTAAAACCAAATTGTTCCATTTTACCTTGTACAAAGACTCGGGTGGGTGACGTTATTGCGTTGGGAAGGAGAGGAGGATTGCTCTCGGCTTGTACATGTCATGCAGGAGGCTCGCTAACTGCTGGGGAGGATGTGGCTGCTAAACGGAGAACAGAGAGTGTTTTGGGGCTTAACCGATGTTTTTGGAGGAGGTGGTGTACCTATCCTGGTAGGAAATCTCCTGTTACAAGAGTAGGTGACCCTGCTGATGTCCTGAGTGTGACATAGCTCTAGTGGGGACTGTCTATCAGGCAAGATCTTACTGACACATGGGTTCAGCTTGTGGGGGTAAAGGGACTGACTGACTGACAGGACCTTTTCATTGCTCAATTCCTTTTTTCCTTGAATATACAATGGAAAAAAAAAATCTTTGATTAAAAGAATTAAAAGAGAGAATATCCCAGATCTGGTCCAGGAGTCCTGGTATTCCCTGCCCTCTGGCTGTGCAGCCACCTGCAGTAAAGTCACAAAAATCAAGGTGCTTGTGGCTGGCGCCTGTGTGCTCTGGGCAGATGGGCAACAGGCAGTTAGAGGGTTGGCTTAATGAAATCCAGCTTTATTTTCAGCTATGGTTTACTACCTGTCTTTTTCCATGTGCAGCTGCTGACTTCTGTGCTTTATCTTTGCAGCACGGTGAGCACGGGTCTGTCTGTGTACCGCAATAAAACCACCATCAGTAATTTTGCTTCGGCAGGAGGTAAGACTGCTATAACCTCATGTACTTTTCTCTTTATGAGCAAGGGTCATAAATGGAAAAGCATAAGCAGAAATCCATATCTCTTGGATTTGAGCAGGTCTCTAGCTTCTGTGCTCCTGGGTTTTGTTTCCTCTTCTACTGCCTGCCGTTGTGACTTTGCTCCGTTTAACTGCTGCCTGCCTTTATTTGTAACAGAGAGATATTGATGCACTTCTGAAACCATTGGGGAGTTTTGCAGTTTATCAGTTCACCTTCAGAATACTTGCTGGAGTGTTTTGGATGAAAAATGCTTGTGTAGGATAAAGGCAACACTTGGTGCATAACCTGCTCGGATAACCACCTGTTAGCAGGGAGAGCATTTCTTGTTTCTGCTCTTGATACCAGTTCAGTGTGCTGTTCATAAACTCCCCTTTTCATGCAGAGTTTTGCATGTCCACTTTTGGCAGCAGGGCTCTGGGTAAGTGATCTGCTTGTGCAGTTTTACAGGCTTTATTGCCCTTAGAGTTGGATACGTGTTTTATTGATCTTTTCTGCCTTACATGGCAGCTACTATTATTAGCTGCTGTTGAACAGGAAAAAAAAGGGGGGAGGGACATGCTCCAGCCTGGAGAGCTTGGGTAACTTTCATAGATACTTTTACTTCTTAGCGTTTCTTGGGGAGGTTTCCTGAAGCATTGTGCAGTGTTGTAGTGCAAGAGACCATGGTGACTCAGTGGTGAGGGCCCCTCCTGCTGGCCACAGTACTTGGTTTCTGCTCTGTTAAAAGCAGATGTCAGCTTACGGTGGGGAGAAATGCAGCAAAGCAGCTCCCTCCATCTGTGTGTGATGGCTGTTGGGGGGCTGTTTGTGGTTTCAGTGGGTTTGTGGTTTTTTTAGCCTTCACAGGAGCCCTTTTCAGAATGCACTTGGGCCTGCAGGGACTGGCAGGTGGCTTCGTGTTTGGAACAGCGTTTGGGTGAGTTGTGACTGCTGCTGACAAGTGATCAAGACATGAGTACTCTTTAAGGGTGTTTGTTAAATGGTGGCCTCACACACCAAGCCTTGAATCATAGGTGGGGCTACAGAAGCTTCCCTTGAGGGAAGCCCACCTGGATGCGTTCCTGTGTGATCTGATCTAGGTGTTCCTGCTCCGGCAGGGGGATTGGACTAGATGATCTTTCGAGGTCCCTTCCAATCTCTAACATTCTGTGATTCTGTGATTTTCTGTATCTCTCCTGGGACCTCATGTCATGATGATGACTTTCTTCCAACCTTTAAACTGTTTTTTTTTTTTTCTTTTTTTCTTGATTTGTGTTTTGCCACTTCCTCAGTGATAAGAACTCAGTGCTCTCAATAGAGCATTTAACTTGCTTCTATTTGCTTATTGGAGGAGACACTAACTCCTGTTAAATAGGAAATTATGAGGATGGGTTACAGGTGTGTCTCCTGTTCCCCTTCCTTGGCCTGGTCACTGATGAGCCTGATGGTTGTGTGTAGAACCGTTGGACATCTGTTTTATGGAGCTGTTTTGTCTGTGGGTAAAGGCAGGAGTGTAAGACACAGCTTCTGGTCTCCCTTCTCAGATGCATCAACAGCTGCTCCTGTAGCAGCTCAGAATGCAGATGGCACACAAGGGATGTTGGATGTAATGATGACACCTTTTGAAGAAGGGAGCACCCTGGTAACCGCCAGCACCTAGGTTAGGAATCTGTGTAAAAATTATTTTTTGACAAAATAGGCTCCATCAAAGCCAAAATGTGGAGCAGCAACCGTTAGGAAATGCTGAGGAAGAAGCTGCATGCTTGGGCTGCACAACCTGAGGCTGTAAGGTGGCACATCTCTTAGTTTATGTCTTGCAGTCATGTATCTCTTAACTCAGGAGAGCTCCGTCTTTTCAAGCAAAACTGGGAATTCTTCTCAAAGTACAGACTTGTGAATATCTTCACAAGTGACTTTGGGGATTCTGCCGGGAGATCGAGCTTTATGTATGCTACCTAGCACCGTCAGGATGATGTCAGCTGTGGTCATGCCTGTAAGCAGCCTGGGGAGCTTTAACAATGAAAACACAAGTACCTCCAGAGCTGGACAGAAGCTAAGCAGGGGTGTGACTGTGTAAATTATGGGTTAGGTGTTCTACAGGGGTTGTTTGGGCACCTTAAATCCTTCCACCCCTTTGCTCTATGTGTGCCTGTCAATGAGTCAATTCAAAATAGGTTATCGAAGGGGCTACAGTGAGTCACAGCTGAAGACAGGCTGTGTTTGGTGGCCGACACTAGAGCAGGAGTACCTCAGTCTGTGTTGTGATGTGCGGATTGGGGAACGTCACGCTCCACTGATCCAGTGGCTGCCCCCGCATACTCGTTCTGTTGATGCCGGTAAGTTATTACTGTTGTGTGTCCCCTGGGTGACTTGTGACTTTTCTGCTTCCTCCTTTAGGATCCCTGCAGGGGGCCTCGTAATCATAATGCAGAAGCTTGCTGGTGAGACCTTGGCGGAGAAGAGAAATCGTGACCGTAGGGAGCTGTATGAACAGAAGCTGGCAGAGTGGTAAGGAACAGCTCTGCCTGTTCAAGTCTTTGAGTAGAAGTGTGTCTAGGTCTGTGTGGTTCAAATGTTGAAAGAAACCATAACACACTAGGTTTTCTAAACCTCAGTTCTTCTGCTCTTGGTTTTTCCTGTGTTTCACCTACCCATCTGAGAACTGCTGGTAGTTTAGTCTTCCCAGCATTAGATGTTGCTGCTTATTTTGTAACAAAGTATTTTGTTCAGAATTCATGCCCTGCCCTGCTCCAGAAACTCTGCATCAGTTTTTGACTTTTGCAGTGACCGAGAAGACAAGCCAGACAACAACATGAGTATTTCTTTACCAACACTGAGAGGGGCCAGAACTCTGGCTTTTCCTTCATTGCTGCCTTCTTCCCATCCCCGTTAAAGAGAGGAAAGAAAAAGGATAGCTGGAGGCTTTGGGTGGAAAAGGCTGTGACACTGGTTGCGTGACTTAAAACTCACAAATAGTGCCAGTTCTAGAAGAAACTTTTCAAGAGCTGGTATTCTGCAGTGATGCCTTTGTCAGGACAATACAGGCATAAAATTACTTTGCACTCTCTCTTCTCTCATTAGGCAATCCAGGCTCAATGTGACTGAAGTCTTAGGCCAAACGGAAAGCAATGCCCAGGGAGGACCAGAGACGGAGACAGCACGAGAATCTAGGAGCTACTGAGTCTTACCCAGATCTCTGTTGTAAGCAGCTACAAAGTATTTTGATTCTGCTTGCAAAAGTCTTCAGTCAAGGCATCATGGAAGTCTTCTGTGAACACAGTTGTATACTGTGAAGTTGTGAAAAAGGATTTTGCTGAAAACATTGTTCATGGATGCGTATCACTGCACAAGAGCTTGGAATGGCCAAACCTGTTCCACCTGAGAAGGTGGAAATGCAGACTCTGCAGACTAGGAAGCATCATCTAGGTTTGGCAGGGGGTGAGGGCAGCCCCAGAGCCTTGTCTAGAACCCATTTCCCTGCTGAAAGTGTCCAAACCACCAGCAATGTGGAAAAATTCAAGGTAAAGGAGCCTATAAATAGTAGGTACTCTCAGTCTGAAAGCTAATTAGGCTTTGGTGAAAGCCAGTCTTCAGATAATGCCTGAAGACCTTCCTGTCGAAGCGCAACACAGGCAGTACCAGAGTGAGTGGTTCTCCTGCTCTTGCCATCGCCCTCCCACAGCTTGACTTGGGTTGGCTGGGACCAGTGCTGTTTTGCTGACAGTGGTTTCTTCAGGCTTTTTGCAGAAAAACACACTTTGCTAAATGCTCCAAGTACTGTAGGAGCAATCAATGTTGACAAGGGTGGAAGAGCTGGGAATAATATGGAAATACCCAGGAAAAGGCAAGTTTTGGGTTCCTCCATAGTAGTGTGGTTGAGGGGGGCACAGAAAGGATGACTTGTTTCTGGTGGTTTTGCTGGAAGAATTGGCACTGTGGACAGTTTTAACAACAATAAAAAGGCCTCTAATTTCATTTCAAGGTCAGAAGTGAGATTATCTTTGGGGGAAATGTGGTTCAAGACACTCAATAAAGCCATCTAGCAGTGGTGTTTGTGTCCGTAAGCTCTTTATGTTAGTACAGTATGGTACTTTATATTAGTACAGTATTTGCACTGGAGAAATGTACTTGAGTGATAGCCCATGAAAAGAGCTCTATCTAAGAAAGATCCAACCAATGAGCAATAAAGTCTGGTGGCGATGTCAGACATTCCTCTATCTGGGCAGACAAGAGCCAGGAGAGTGCCAGCTCTGTTTATTATTTTGTACCAGAGATCATCTGTTAAGTCATAGCTGTTATCTATGGGTAGGGCTGAAGTTCATGTAACAGTGCTCTGTACCCAGAATGGCCAGATGGCCCAGCACCATGTTCCTCAAAGCAGAACATCAGAATTCTGGTCCTCTTTCTTTCTTGGGGCTTTTCTCCTATTAAAGAGAATTACATCCAGACAGGGGGTTCAGGTCTCCTTCCCACAAGAAAAGAGTAGCCAGTCTGTTCAGGTTGAATGCTTTTCTCTGTTACAGATGTTTACTGTTGATTGAAATATGAAAAGTTGATTCCACACTGTATTCCACCCCCTCACCCACCCAAAGCAGATTTTTTGCACAGCTTGCTTCCAAGAAGGTTGTTTTTTTCTGACTTCTGAAATGAGCATTTTATTTTTTAAAGACCTCAGTGTAGTTCATTATTCCATTGTGTGTTTCCATACATGTTTCAGGGTTATCATCAACCAGCTTTGATTTTCCTTTTCTCTATGTAAGTGAAGGATCTGAATAAGCAGAGGTATGGATCTGCCTCTCCCCCTTCCTGTTTTACGTTCTGCATGCATTGGTGACAGTAGTGTTATTGTCCTCTGCCCCTTCAAAAAACAAAATAAGCAGGCCTTTCTGAGTCGTACTTTTGCCATTGTGGTTACACAGTGATATTTTATCTTTTTTTTTTTTTTCCCCTGTTCTTTTTTTTTGCTGTTACATCCCCACCAAATATCCCACACTCTTACCTATACAGCAGTGCTGATGATATTTAGCTGTGTCATTGCTCAGTCTTTCTCTATTCTTATTGAATGGTATTTGGTGTGATGTCTAAAGAATACTAATTTTCTTGTGTCTGACCATTGATACAGAGAGGGTCGTCCCTGGGAACGTATGCAGAGCCAAGGTGTAGCAGTGGTGTGGATTTTCTCTCCATGTAAGGAAGGAAGGGCTGCTAGATGTCCTTATGCTGCACATTAGCAAGGGGAAGCAGAGAATTCCATCTACACTCATGCTTAGCAGTCATTTTTTGCTCTGCTGAATGTAGTTCCCTGCACTTCCTCCTTTCTTGTATTCAAAGTCACTGTCCAAATGGGGAGTGAAGAGTTGGTTCAGAGCTTATTTTTTTTAAATACAAATGTAAGGGATTCTTCACACCCCAATTCTCTCGCCCACCCCCAGTAAAAGCACAGCAGGGAAGTTACCAGTCCTCCTCTTTCAGAGTAGGTAACACAAATAGCAAGGATACAGTAAGAACATCTTACACTGGATTTTGCTTTTGCAGAGGACCTCCCTTTTTTGGAGGGAGAAGGAAGACCTGTTGTGAACTAAGTGGCAAGCACCATAGCTACAATGCTCAGTTAATCCCTGACAAACTCACAGATGTGAGATCGGTCGAAGTTACAAGTTGGGTACCTGAGTGCCCTTTTGTCATTGCTGTTGAGCACACCACACAGAGCTGTGTCTTAATGCCAGCTGTACCTGTTACAGCTTTGTCAACCAGCTGCATCACCTACCTTGATGCTACACAGCCTATGTTTTTAGCAGCTACAAAATGGTGTCTGGGGCTTGTGAATAATTGAAAGGCTCTACCACTTCCCAGCGAATAGAACAGACATCTTTTATTACTGAGGAAAGGAAATTGAGTTTACCATTTATTTTTTAATACAACTAAAGGAGGAACCCTGGGCAAAAATGTTATATACAAAATACCTGTGATAAACAGAGCAGCTGATCTGGTACAAAGACCCAGATATTAAGCGCAAAAGGTCTCACAGAAACCATTTGTGTGCAATTCACTGAATACAGCATAAGGCAATAGAAAACATGATTCATAGTATTAAGGGCTTAAGGAAAAAACTAAACCAAATAACCTATGCATCACAAATATAAAACCAAACCGATGCTAGACATATTTGTCAGTGAAACTTTAAGTAAACTCCTAAAGGAAACAAAAAGTGTCACAGGCACCTGTGGTGATGTGGAGAAGTTTGGCACAGTGCAAAAGACAAACCCTTCCCCAGGAGGCTGTGCAATCATCAGTAGAGCATGGGATCGTCAGAGGGAAATGTTGTGCCAGTACAACTGTCAGAGCTGTGGTGTGGTTGGTAAGGTGGAAATGCATCGTGGTTATAGCAGGGAAGGAAGCACAATGTTGATGTTGAAAATGAGCAAAGTAAATACAAAAAAAGAGGGTGTTCAGCATGCAAGAAGCTAGTAGTTTGTTCTGGAAAGAACAAGCGTAGACTGAAAGAAAAGGAAGCTTGAAAAGTATGAGACACCTTTGCCCATACACCAAGTCATGCCATAAGGTCAGGCTGCCTTTTGGAAACTGCATTCTGTGGCACCTGTGTCCTGCTTGCAAACAGAATGCACAAATGCATGTTTCCTTATCACCTTTTCTCTGTCAAAAAAACCCTCCATAAGAATGTTCTGAAGTTCCCTTTTCACTTCATACAATGGGAAAGCGGTAAAAAAGCTGATGGGGCAGCATGACTCTGCAGGAGTAGAAAAGGAGCAGTGTCTTATTTTTTTTACTAGCAACTTGATCCCTTAGTTTCTCATAGTTCAATTCTCTATAAACCTGTTTTAGTCCTCCTATTTGCTCCAGCAATTTCTCTCAATATGTACCTGCTAGAAAAAAGTGAAATGGATGGAAAATTTCTTTGCTGTGTCCTAGCAAGATAAACAGCTCAAGCAACAACACATCTCACAAAGAGGATGGCATGGTGCTTTCCAGACTGTGGTCTGCCCTGCTAACTACACACATGGGTAGAGCAGTAAGGGAATGGGTGCAGCTTGCAGTGGGACAGAGCAAAAGGGAAAAACAAACCTGTCAAACTCAGGGCAGGGCTGACTTAGGTTAGTATGCAGAGGTGCTTAGGGATCTTGTTGGGGTTTGGGGCCTTTTCCTCTTTTGCCCTCAAAATAAGAAACCATTTTTTCCTACACAGTAGGCAAGAATACCCAGATCAGATGAGCCCTATCCAATGTTAGCATCCTGTAGGGAACTTCTTTCAAGTCCTGGCTGGGTAGAGAGAACGCTGGCACAAAGCAGCAACATTCAACGCAAAGTAGATCCCTATGTCACCGAGAGACTCCCAAGAATCTGGGGAGCCTATCCTACCTAACAAGTCTTCTTAGGCAAATGTACAAACAAAAGCAGAGCTATGTTCATGAAGCAAGGCCCTGAGTTAAATTTCATTACAGTAGATAACATGTGAGATAACCACTCAGTGTTAAGAAATTTAAATGGGGCTTTACAATGGCTGTGGATAGGAAGGAATACATACTATAAAAGCTTGTACGTGTGTGTACACGCAAAGGTGTGCACATGTGTGCGCTCACCACCAGCGGGTCAGGTGTGTTCCTGTTCTCTGAGTAAATTAATGGAGAACCTGTACCTTGTTACCTGGGTTGGCGAGGCCATCCTTTCAGGAGAGAAATATTATGAGAACTTCTGCCACGGCTGTAGACAGGCAATATTAGTTAGCTGTTAGGTGTGCCATCAGTATGTATCATTCCCTAAAAAGTCTCATAGCCCTGAAAATAAGCATGAGGCATATAGTCCCACCTCAAGGTGCTTTTTCATGAAAAGTGTGTACATTATTGTGTCTTTAGGGGAGAAGGGACATGTATCTGTAATGGTCAAGTTCAAATCCAAAGTCCTCCAGCACAAAGAACAGTACTGGCAGATACCCATGTGAGGCTGAATATAAAAGAAGTTTTAGCTGCTCCCAGTCGCAACATGGAGGCACAGCTTGACCTGAGATGGTGTGTCAGGGTCTGGGGTCTCCCAAAGGGCAGCTCTGGGTTACTAAAGGGGCGTGGGCTACCTGCTAGGGCTTTGTAGACCCCCTGATTTTCACAGAGGCAGCATCAAAAACAGAGGATCCCAAACTCTTGAATTGGTATGTCGATGCTGATGACA